GATAATTTCATAACTTAAAAAATTTGACGTAACTGATTACCTCAAATTTTTTGAGTTTTGTCAACTTATTCGGGATTACAGTGCATATTTAAATGGTTTTCCGATACGTATGGTTTTACTTTGACACCCGACCCAGAAATTGCTATATTTGGGTACTCTAGTTCTTTGCTGGATCATAATGTGTATATACAAAGCACCATCATTTATGGAATGATTATAGCTAAGAGTGCCATTCTAAAACAGTGGAAATCAGATTCTGTTCCTCAATTTTAAGACATGGTTAACTTATCTCACTCAAATATTGAACATGGAAAGAGTCCGATATGGAGATATTAATAATCTTGCAAAATTGTATAACATATGGCAACCATTTCTTGATCAACTGGACCATAATAATGTGGATTCTGAGCAGCAGTGTAATGCTTAATATGCTCACTACCCCTATTGACTGTCTTTTTGTATTTTCGTTGAAACCGTTTATATGCCCTATAATTGTTTTTAAATAATAACTTTTTTATTTTTATTTTATTTGTATCTATTTTTCTTTATTTTAATTATTATTACAATTATTTTCTTTGTAATACCATGCTTATTCCTTCTATTTTTTTATTATTGTTGTGTTGTTTGGTAATTACTGAAAAATGTAAAACTAATAAAAACAAATATACTAATAAAAAAAAAATCTTCTGACCAATCAAATGTTCTCTAGTATTTATTATGCCACGCCACATTTATTTGCTGATGCTGAAATTGGTCATTTATTAATGTCATTCACAGTGATGGGAATAACGGCGCTAAAAATAAACACTGTTACTAACATAATACTTTTTTTCACTAACAAGTGATCAATGAATTACTGTTTCCCACATTACAACACTATTACCATTACTGACAATAAAATGGCAATACTATAATAGAGGACACTGAATCGGTTTTCATGCGAGCAGCATCTCTCTCAGCCATAGGACCTCTCTTTCTCTGGGTTGGGAGTATGTGTGTGTGTGTGTGTTCGGGGAGGGGCGGGACACATAACCAACCAGTGATGATGATTGGTGTGTCTGTGGATATGGTGTAACTTAGAATGTGATGATTGGCTAAAGCCGCCTTTCCACTGCACACAACATTTGGACTGTCGGAATACGCCCCCTTGTGGCGGTCGCACAGAATTTTCAGTTCTGACGTGCACCTTGGGAGAAAAGCTGTTCTCACAGTGTTCGAAATTAAGGAGTGCAAAAGCAAGATCCTATATTCTCTGTGCGTTCACAGTGGTTCAATAAATTAATGAATACTAGAAACTCAGACCGCTAAAAATATTGGAAGGAATGTGTTTTTTTTAATTACGTTATTACTTACATTTATGAACAGAAATGTTTTTTTTTTGTTTTTTTTTTTAATATAGACTTTTTCCGATTCAAAAAATAACCAAAAAAACTAGTATTTCTCATCTCGCATGCATGGACCTGCTTTTACAACACTGGAATACATCACATCACATCACATCCGGTCGGCCGGTCGCATACAGTCTAGTCGCAGGAGTTCAAATAATTCAACAGATCCGCAGCTCAATTCGGATCCGAGTTTTCCGCATACGGAGATGATCAGAACTCCACGCAGCTCCCGGACTACTCTCCATTGGAAAAGAATGACGTCCGGTCTGTCGCTTGTCGTTTGTCGTGTGCAGTGGAAAGGAGGCTTTAGACAGAATACATTTCCATTGTTTGCCAATCAGAAGCAGAGTAGGGTGGGTGTTCACACAAGCATACTTCGTTCACACTAATGACCAGGAGTCAGAACGATTGCAAATCCAACAAGTTTAAAGGGAGCGTTTGCAAACTGGAAATAAAAGCGCTACTTTTCCCTCGTTGAGGTGAAAGGCAAGAATGTTTATGTATCGTGCAACTTATGCCCATGAAAAAAAAAAAAAAGAGTCTCTCTGTGTTGGTGACAAGTAATTCTAATCTAATGAATCGCCTCACGTGGTCACATGCTGCCACAAAATTAGTGGCTACGCAAGTGAGCTCTGCTACCAAAGAAGAAAACGAAGCCACAACGTCAAAGCAAATAAAACTTAATTGTTTACCACCGTAAAAAATATTACTGAGACAGAATTAAACAAAATAATATAATGTACTGTTGAGGACAGGCGAGTCAGTGGCGCAGTAGGTAGTGCTGTCGCCTCACAGCAAGAAGGTCGCTGGTTCCAACCTAGGCTCAGTTGGCGTTTCTGTGTGGAGTTTGCATGTTCTCCCTGCCTTCGCGTGGGTTTCCTCCGGGTGCTCCGGTTTCCCCCACAGTCCAAAGACATGCGGTACAGGTGAATTGGGTAGGTTTAATTGTCCGTAGTGTATGAGTGAGTGTGTGAATGTGTGTGTGGATGTTCCCAGAGATGGGTTGCGGATGGAAGTATAGACATCCGCTGCGTAAAAACTTGCTGGATAAATTGGCGGTTCATTCCGCTGTGGCGACCCCAGATTAATAAAGGGACTAAGCCGACAAGAAAATGAATGAATGAATGAATTGTTGAGGACATGCTGCAAAATGATGTAGATTACTGTATAATGTTTTTTTATTTATTTTATATTGTCATTTGACAAATTCATTTTTTTATGTAACGCAATAGTTAATTGTATAATTATGTAACTCATCTCATCATCTAACTCAGTTACTATTTGTTAGAAGTAACTTGTAACTATAACTAATTACTCTTTTAAAGGAATGTGCCCAACACTGGTCATTTACTAATAATTAGTAGGTATTTGGAAGTATTACGAATGTAGAAAAAGATCATACTTTATAAGCACTAATAAATAGTCAGTATCTTATTGTTGGCATTTCTGCGTGGAGTTTGCATGTTCTCCCTGCGTTTGCGTGGGTTTCCTCCATAGTCCAAAGACATGCGGTACAGGTGAATTGGGTATGCTAAAATTGTCCGCAGTGTATGAGTGTGTATGTGAATAAGTGTGTGTGGATGTTTCCCAGAGATGGGTTGCAGATGGAAGGGCATCCGCTGCGTAAAAACGTGCTGGATAAGTTGGCGGTTCATTTCACTGTAGCGACCCCGGATTAATAAAGGGACTAAGCCGACAAGAAAATGAATGAATGAATGAATGAATAATTCACTAGTTCGTAGCTAGCGGGATTTGGTCCTTAAACTAAAAAACTAATATTAAATTAGTAATATTAACTAACTAAATTATAACTAATAATGTTCAAACCGAGGGTTCACATAAACACTTGCAAATATAAGAAAAAAAATATATAAAAGGGTAGCCAGAACACTCTGAACTCCTTACTTATTCTTATTCGTTTCTTATTCGCATCTCTCTACAGAAAGCCCCGAGGGGAAAAGCACATTGCATGCGCGCGCACACTATTGCGCACGCACGCGCACGGACGCACGCACACGGACGCACGCACACACACAGTCAGCATAAAGGAACCCATGAGATTCAGAATTAAATCCGTTACACACAGTCTTCATTTCATTGGGTGAATAGTTCTACAGCAGGTAGTACAGACAGTGCAAATATATGATTTCCTTTAGGTTGAAGGATGTCTGCTTTCATCATTTTCAAAATGCCACGTGAACCACTGCAGTGTGCAGGTATGGTCTGAGTGAGTCGGCACAGACCACAAAATGTACTGGAATTACACAGAATGCTGTATTTTAAAGCAGAGAAACGATGAGTCAGACTCTGTATTACTATTATAGACTGTGGCAGTCAAGAGTCTGATGCGCTTTAGCTCAACAGCTTTGACTGGCAGAGCTGTGATATAAACTAAACGCCATTGGCTGTTTTTGAAAAGAGGGAGGAGCTACTCTAAGTCCCACTTTGTCTTTCTCAGTTTACATTATGTCAAACATTAAATAAAAATGCATATTCCAAAGCATTTCAAGGGACTTTTAAATTCGCCATCCAATTAAAATTTACACTTCTTATTTTCATATATTTTGTATATGTATATGTATATATTGTATATGTTCATATGTATATAAAATATACAATATACCTAAATATATCTGTGCTTGTTATATATGATGTGCACTTCATTATTTTGAAAAAAATTCATTTGCGCTGATTATTAATCAAATAGCAGAAAATTCTTCCACCATTTGAAGGAATTTTCTGGTAAACTGGAATGCCATTTCTAAATGGGCTATTTGGGCGTGTGTCTCGTTTCTAACCTGCTTATGTCCACTCATCAATCTTCCTTCACTTTGTTGGCCATGCCGATCCTCCAACTATCCAATCGGATACCAATGGACAAAATCAAGCACCGACCTAATTTTTTTCTCTTTTCAGGCCCTTTTAATGGGGTATATGCAGAAAGACTTTTAATTTTAGCCAGCTCAAGTGGTTCCAGTCATCCTATCACAAAATCGCCATGTTTAAGATCGGGTTTCTTTAAAAATCAATAATATTCACTTCCTGTATAGATATACGATATAAAATGGATCTCAGAGTTGACAAAAAGCACTGCATTAAATTCCATTGTTCTGCTTAATATCTCTAAAATATAGAAATTAATTTTACCACAGTATTTTCAATAGAGTTTCGCTTACCTGCTGCTCTGGACGCCGCTTGCATTAAAACGCAAGTCTTCTCATTTTACGCCTGAACAACTAAATGAATGCTTAAAGAGGTGGTTCATAGTGTTTTTTAAGGCTTGGTTGTGTTTATAAGATGCAAAGCAATGTGTGCTCATGCTTCATTTGTAGAAAATCACCTATTTTTTTTATATTTCTTACTTTAATTACAGCTACTCAGCAAACAGGAAAACCACTGTCATATTTCCTAGTTTCCCTTAAGAGGCTCTGATTGGTCAGCTAACATGATGTGCTGTGATTTGCGGATCGGCTCCACGTCACCAGGAAGCGTCACATCCAGTCACTAGCACACGCTGTCCCTTAGCTGTGTAAATACAATCTTAACTTTCATTTCATGGCGACTTTAAGCTCATGGAAAATATCAGGATATCAGTGTTGGCGAAACTCTTACCTTTGTATAAACTCCCCAGGAGAGTTCAGTCTCCGTCACCATGACAACAATCCCAAACATCCCAAAAATCAGGGCGTAGTCACTAAGGCGCTTGCGCTTCTCGAACAGCGCCCTCCGGTGGCCGAGTTTATAGCCAATGTCCTTGTTCTTCTTATGTGGCGCGCTGCACGGTCTCTGCGTCACCAGGTTCTCACTAGACTGCTTACTAGGGTCTTCCCCGTTTCCTTTGGAGACCACCACCTCCAGGCCGGACGTGTGCAGGGTCTGCAAAGGCTGAGTCTCAGAGTCCAGCTCTGCGAGGTTCCTCCGGGACGCCCCCAGACTGCCGAGTGGTCTGACTATGCCCCCATTGTACTTGCAGCTGTTCATGGCTATCTGAGGATGCTGTGGGCCGCCGTGGGACAGGGAAGGCCGCGATCCAGCATGGCTCAGCCTGTTGGCATCCGCATTCACCTGCCAGAAATAAGAAGATACATTTTATAGATTTTTATCATTGTCTTTTGCGTCTGGGAGATTGTGTACTGGCTGAGGGGGGGGGAGCACTGCCAATCCACAATGCTGATTTAATGGGCATTTCTTTAGAAAATTACATTATGAATGCCAGCTTTTAATGCAAGTGGGAGGAGGTTCGTCTACTGATCATGATGACTGCCGGAAAACACAAAGCTTTCAATCAAGACATTTGGAATTTACTGGATACTTCAAGAATTATATAACAGGTTAATCATTTTGATGACAATCATGGGTGTAATAAACATTTAGATAAATAAAATGAAAAAGGCAGCAAGATTTACTGCTTAAAAGCTTGAGGTAAGATATTATTATACAGCAAAGATGCATTAATACACATCCCTACACAAAATGAACGCAAATTACAATAGAAATTGCTCAATGCATACAGTAGACAAATCTGTCATGAGCTACTGAACAAATTGAGGAAACAAACACTGGCCAAGCTGACAAATGTCATCCAATATATCAGTCTATAACTGGTATTAAGCCACTTTTTTCTGCCAATACTAATTATTTACACTGTTTATCTTAACCCCTAAAATCTCTCTCATTTTTGAGCAAGTGGGAGAAAAAAAACTTTGTTGTAATATTTTTACTTCGCGGTATTTACTAGAGATGTCCCGATCCATTTTTTTTTTCCTCGAGTCCAAGTCCAAGTCATTTGATTTTGAGTATCTATCGATACCGAAACCCGATCCGATACTTCTATAATACATAAAAAAAGAATTAAGAGCGAAGAAACAGATTCAGGATGTTCCTTTTTTTTAATTCACCTTATTTTAACATTTAACAACTCTGTTAACAAACAGAGCACTTCTGTGTGTTAGCTTGAACAATAAATTGATAAATAACAGAAATTATTCACTTTTGCAACAGTAAATATACAGGTAATCTTAAATAAACACAAATAGCACCTCAACTTAAAATACCCGGCCGGCAATCCCAAATTTATTTATCTCACAGTTTGCTATGGCAATGTTGTCGTCTTCATCAACTTTATAATAACTCCAGAACGCAGACATACGCTTGCTTTCCGCTTCAAATTACTTCTGTGTTCTACCTTGCCCTCATTTAACCAATAGCATCTCTGCAACAAAGTGATGTCAAGTTGCACACAATGCTGTTTCTGTGTGAAGTCAAGACTCTGTGCTACCGCATAACTATAGATGTGCTAAAAAACAATAGCAATATACGTGTGTGTGTGTGTGTGTGTGTGTGTATGTATGTATGTGTGTATGTATGTGTATATATATATATATATATATATATATATATATATATATATATATATATATATATATATATATATATATATATATATATGTATGTATGTATATTAGTGCTGTTAATTGATTTAAAAAATTACTAATTAATCACGCTTTTTTTCAAAATTAATAGCATTTAAAAAACTGAAACTTGTAACTTTGGCTATTCAAATGTAAAATTAATGTAAACGCAAGACAAAAACTATTTAAATTCAAAATGTAATTGTTTATTAGAATTTTTGTTTAACTTGTAACACAGATTTCTTTATGTAAACAACATACCCACAATAAACCATCAAGATCCTGCTTGACAGCCATATTTATTGCAGAAATTAAAACAGAGGCATGTTAATGCCATTTGAATATCAATACCAATAAAGAAAAAAAAATTCCAAGTTGGATTCTGAGTGGATTGCAAAAAAAAATTAAGAAAAAAGCCAAAATACAGGCATTGCAGATATGGAAAATGGAAAATTATACTACTACTACTACTACTACTACTACTACTACTACTACTACTACTACTACTACTACTACTACTACTACTAATAATAATAATAATAATAATAATAATAATAATAATAAAGTATTGAATACAAACAATTGTACTCATTGTAAAGTTGTATTGCTGTGAGTTGACAATTATTATAAAGTAGAAACAATTTTGCTCAGTCCTCCTTTACATTCATCCAGTTGCAAAGACAGTCTAGTCTCCCGGAAGTTGCAGGAGTATCACAGAGTAGCACAGAGACTCCCGGATGTCTCTGTAAGTTAGGACAAGAAACGACTAATTTTATTAACCTTAAAATAATACTAGAAATGTATTCCTGGCGAGCCCCCATGTATAAAGGCTTATTTATACTTCTGCTGGAAGCGCATGCGTATGCTCTGGTGCAGCCTTCAGTTATGGCTTACTTCAAATTTTGCAGTTTGTTACTGTATGTTTAATCTTCTGTGTCAAAATAGCCCCAAATGCACACAAAATGTACAACAGTTTTTACATAACTCCCACATGTAAAATATCAAATCTATATATTCAAAAGAGTTAAATTTGATCAAGATAATCATTTGATCTTTTCTTTTAAACTAGACAACATGTTTTAATCCAACATTAACATCACTGATGAACCTGAAACAAATATGAAAAGATATTAAAAAGATGAAAACATTTGAAAGCATGGGATCACACCAACATTTCCTTCAGAGTTCAGAAACGAATGCGTATTTGGCCTAATTGCATTACAGGCCTGTAAATACAGCAAAATACTCATGATAACGCTTATGACATGAAAAAGCTTGCTCGCAATGATCTCACATTATTAAATTATTTTCCTAAAAGGAATTTTTATTCTGAATTCATACTGTTCTAATTTTCTTGCCAATAAGGATCGGTTTCTGTTATCTAGCTAGTGCTGCCGTCTGACACAATGCCAACTCATTTGCAGAGACCTACTTCTGTAATGTCATTTTCTGATAGGCAGAGCACACCGCAGACCCACATTCAAACCCCACTGCATTCCAAATGAGACGAACGACAGCTGCTGCTTCAAACCAGTATACATATCTAATACAGTCACTACTGCTGATTAAACTAGTTAACCAAAATCCATTTCGGTCGCACCACAAACCTGGTTTTGTTGATTTAATCCACAAGCACTGCTTGAACCTCCTTCGTCCTCAAACGAACTGATGATTTCAATGTTTTTACTTGATAGTTTCTGTTTATCCATGTTGCTGAACTCTCTATAATCAAGGCAGGGATCTACAGTTAGCACAGCTACTACCGTATGTAGTGATACTTAAACTGAGCTTACCAATTATACCATTCAAGAAAAAAAAATGTAGGGCCCCAGACATATACTTTCTAGCAAGGCCCCTTGTTTGTGACAGTTCTCATGGAGTCTTTTACGAGGCTTTCTGCTCACATGGTAACAGTGAACATCTATTCTGTACAGCTTTTTGTTTGTCTCGCGTTTTATGTTTGTTTTTCACAAAATGGATTGTGGGAATTTGTCCAAAGCTACAGTTTTGTACTAAATGTACCCATTTATGTACACTTTGAATATTAAATTCAATGTGCTGTAATGCAGAATGCTACATTTAATGGATTATTTTATGATATTTTATAACAGAGGTACTGAATTAAAAGCTGGAAGAGGTCTAGTGTATTTATGTCCTTCCAGGTGAAAATCTGGACATTATTTTTGAAATAATTAGAAATTTGAGGCTGGCACAGTGGGTTAGTGTTTAGCACTGTTGCTTCACAGCAAGAAGGTTGCTAGTTTGAGTCCCGGGCTGGGCCAGTTGGCATATCTGTGTGGAGTTTGAATGTTCTCCCCGTGTTCACGTGGGTTTCCTCAGAGTGTTCTGCTTTCACCTTACAGTCCAAGCCATGCGGTATAAGTGAATTAGATTAACTTAATTAACCGTAGTCAAATAGCTTAGAATGACCAAGAAGCGACACTCAATAGAACGTTCCATTGCAACAGCAGCGGTGAAAGCGGTCGGCTGTCCATTGGATCTTATTGCTGTCGCGATGGCGAGCAGCTCCTTTGTTTTTTATTTACTTATTTAAAAAGCACATTAAAGCTAAGATACAACCTAAAAGACGACATTACAACACTTACTGTCACAATCATCAGCACTTTTAAAAGTTTACTTTACAGACTTATAATATGTTGTTGTTCTATTGGAATTTATATTCCATAATGGCTGCCATCTAGTGGCTGTTTCCCGAATTGCACTAGAGTGTCGCCTCTTGGTGATTCTATGCTTTTTGCCGTAGTGTATGAGTGTGTGTGTGTGTGTGTGTGTGTGTGTGAATTAACTATTTTTATTTTTATTTTAAAACAATACTAGAAGGGTATCCTAGCCCCCAGATATAACCCACCAGTTCTACAGCACCCAACCCACATTGAGCCTGGATCAAACCAGCGATTTTTTTGTATGGGATTCGGTTGGTCTAACAAGGAGGCTGAAGGCCATGGCCTCTAGCGTCTGTCACTAGAGCATCTTTTGGGGTCAGAGGAGTGAGGTTTACCTGCATAGCACTTTCCTAGCTGGCCTTTATTACACTGTCATACATGTTGTTTTTAGTAAATAAATGGTTAGCACTGTCGCATCACAGCTAGAAGGTCGCTGGTTCGACTCCCGGCTGGACCAGTTGGCATTTCTGTGTGAAGTTTGCATGTTCTCCTCATGTTTGCATGGATTTCCTTTAGGTGTTCTGATTTTCCCCACAAAGACATGCAGTATAAGTAAATCAGATTAATTAAATTGACCATAGTGTGTGAGTGTGTGTTTGTGAATGAGTGAGTATGGGTGTTTCCCAGTACTTGGTTGCAGATTGAAGGGCATCCGCTATGTAAAACATATACTGGAATAGTTGGCAGTTCATTCCGCTGTAACAACCTCTGAAATAGAGACTGAGCCAAAGGAAAACCTTTCCATTTGGGCAGCAGTATACTTTGTAAAAGAAAATTGAAAAATGGTTAAAATGATGATATCGAGCCCCAAGAACAAAATAATTGGTGTTTAAGAATTGCTTGTGGTTTCCATATTTTGCCTAAAATAATAATATCCACTAAAAACAGAACAACAATGTAAATAATATGCATCATGAGCAGAAAGCAAAGTTAAGAAATCATTTAAAAGATTTAGTTGTCTTCCAATCTA